TTTTTTCTTCCTGAGGTGGATATGCCTCCATTAATTTGCGTTTAAAATTGAAATTGCCTTCGTATTTATCTTGGAGCTGTAAGAATGTCATAAACTTGGTTTAACTCTATTTTTCTTTTTTCAAAATTTACTTTTTTCCCTCTGCTGTAGTTGGAGGCATCAACAAATCAAGAACTCAACCATCGGATTCCGGTGTTCAACCTTCCCTCAAAGATCCTTTGCCGTGTAGTGAACGTTCATCTGTTGGTAATTTTCTTCCTGGACGTCCTCCTTTTATCTCTTTCCCTGAAAATACTATTTCTTTTTTGTTTTTTTTTTGTGACAGAAAATACTATTTCTGTTTACTGAGAAAATGGTCATTTGAATTCTGGAGTACTAGGTATACAATGTGTAGTTATAGGTGCCATGCTTTAAACTTCATAGCACCTGTTATTTATACATCAATTAAATTTATTACTTAGATAATGGATTGGAAGTGAAACTTACCTTAAACTTTCATATGTTTAGGCTGAACAAGAAACTGACGAGGTTTACGCACAAATACTCTGGTGCCAGAATCCATGTAAGGATGTAGCTGCCTTCTTTCTGATTTCAAAAATTTTCGTGGTCAACCTTAGATTCTTTCTACTATTGCTTAGATTCTAATGGAACAAATATGTTAGCAAAATGAGCCTACTAGCCCAGATCCATGCCCTGCCGAACCTCCAAGGCCAGCAGTTCACTCATTCAGCAAGGTTTTGACGGCATCTGATACAAGCACCCATGGTGGATTCTCTGTTCTCAGAAAACACGCCACTGAATGCCTTCCTCCGCTGGTAAGGACTCTTGAAATGGTCCAATTTCATCATGGCTTCTACTTCCTACTTCCGGATCGTTGTCTTAATGACATTACCATGCATGGATTTCATTTAGGACATGTCCCAACCAACTCCTACTCAGGAATTGGTTGCCAAAGATCTTCACGGTTACGAGTGGCGCTTTAAGCATATATTCAGAGGTAAAGGGCTTGAGTAGATTTATAATCTAGTCCTTGTAATTAAACATTCGGGTTGCCCCGTTTTTTTTGTTTTGGGTGAAATTTGGTTGCCTAATTTTGTTTTCATCAATGTTTACGTTTGCCTCCAGGTCAGCCTCGTAGACATTTGCTCACAACTGGATGGAGTACTTTTGTTACTTCGAAGAGATTAGTTGCTGGAGATACCTTCGTGTTTTTAAGGTTCATTTGCTGCTTTCCTTTTTTCATGGTTATATCATTACATAGCTCAGAAATCTTGTATATGGCAGAATCCTTATTATCTATTCAACTGTACAAACCTTAGCTTAAATAAGATCTTGTAATCTTTATATAGAGGGTTCAGTGGAGAATTACGTGTTGGAGTGAGGCGTCATGCTCGTCAGCAGAGTAGCATGCCATCATCCGTAATTTCCAGTCAGAGTATGCACCTAGGAGTTCTTGCAACTGCCTCTCATGCCGTTGCAACCCAAACTCTTTTTGTTGTCTACTATAAACCAAGGTAGATTTTTTGCCTGCTCCAAGAACAAGATTTGTCTAAGTATTAGATATTTGGGGATGATTCTTGATATAGGATTTTTATTTGATTATCTTAAATTTATTTTATTAGGACAAGTCAATTTATCATAAGCGTAAACAAGTTTCTGGAGGCTATCAACAATAAGTTTACTGTTGGTATGAGGTTCAAGATGAGGTTTGAAGGGGATGAGTCTCCTGAAACTGACAAGAGGTACTAAATTTACTGTTGTAGTTTGTTGCCCTCATCTTTTTTCATGGAGATTCTAATACTTGGTTGATTAGATTTTCGGGCACTATTATTGGAGTGGAAGATATTTCTCCTCACTGGGTAAATTCGAGCTGGCGATCACTCAAGGTATTTTCTGCTGTCACTTTGAAGTTGTTTGCCTTCATATCTGGAGTGATTGTGTCATTAATCATATCTACTTTTCTTTCTATTGTGGTACAGGTTCAGTGGGATGAACCTGCAGCTGTTCCAAGACCAGATAAGGTTTCACCATGGGAAGTGGAACCTTTTCTGGCTCCCGTTACTTCATCTTCAGTTCAACCTCCCGTTGTGAAGACCAAGCGACCTCGGCCACCCAGTGAAATTCCAGATCTTGGTGAGAACTGATTTTGTTTAACTCTTCTCAATTCTTATAGAGATTGCGTAAATTTCTCTTGACCTCTACGTTGTGATTACAAACTAGACACAACTTCCACTGCCTCTGCCTTCTGGAATTCTGAGCTGATGCAACCTGATATTAACCGACTCGGAGCTATGGCTGAAAGCAATAGGAGTGAAAATTCTGGCATGTGGCATCACAATCAAGCTGAAATGAATAGTAAAAGCAGCAGCAACACTCCTTCAAGAAATCAAACAGAAGGGAGTTGGCTGTCGTCTCCCCATTCAACCGGTCCTCCGCAACTGTTGCAGGACACAACAGATGATGGCAAGAGCGTCTCTGCTTGGCCTGTTCACTCAGTTCATTCAACCACTCACTTGTTGCGACAGAACAATGATCATCTGCTTGAACAAGCTGGCAAGGAGAATAAAGTTGAGATTGCTACAAGCTGTCGGTTGTTTGGGATTGATCTTATTGGTCATTCCCAAAATTCAACTGCGATGGAGAAGGCACCTACACATGCAGCTGGTATACTTAATGGCCCTTCTGAAAGTCATGTCAATGCCTTGTCTGGAACTGATTCAGACCATAAGTATAACATCTCAAGGGCTTCCCATGAGGGAAAACAAGAACAGCTGCAAGTAAAGGAGACTCAGAGCAAGCAAATATGTTCCAGAAGTCGCACCAAGGTTTCAAATGCAGATTACTTATATTGATAATAATTTCAATATTTTGTGGTTAGTAAAAAATTCTGATGCTTTCCGCTGGTGTTCCAAACCTGCAAAAGGTTCAAATGCAGGGGGTCACAGTGGGTCGTGCTGTGGACTTGGCCATTTTGGATGGTTATGATCAACTTATAGACGAGTTGGAGGAGATGTTTGACATAAAAGGACAACTTAAAGATAGGAAGAAATGGGAAATTGTCTTCACTGATGACGAAGGGGATATGATGCTTGTGGGTGATGATCCATGGCCGTGAGTATTCCTCTGAATATAATCTTAATCTTATGTCTCGGATCTTTATACTGCTTAGCATATTATACACAATAATGCAAACCTCTCACAATGCGAATATCTTCCTGTTGAATGCTGTTACTTTCTTGCAGTGAATTCTGTAATATGGTCAGAAGAATCTTCATTTGTTCCAGCCAGGATGTGAAGAGGATGAGTGCGGGAAGCAAATTGCCTATTTCATCAATGGAAGGTGATGGGACTGTAATAAGTGGGAGCACAGCTGAAACCTGAAACTAATGTTGATCTTTGTTTGGTCTCTGTTGTTGTAGTTCTTTGTGGGAAGGGAGTTGATTTATTTAGACGTAGGAAATTTGTAATTTCGACATGAAGGACATTGGCAAATTGAAGCTCAAGTTTTAGTGCTACTCGAGACTCCAGGCATGATGGGACTTTTAAGATCTGAAATAATAAAGTGCGTTTGTGGGAGAAAGCAAATGTAGGCTTTAGTGTCTGTGAAATATGCATGTTCATGTTAATTCTTATGATAATGATGGCCGGGAGAATGTGAATCCTAGCTGGTCAAAGGTCTATCTTCCATAGGGCAAGTCTAACCTGGTCTGGTGGATGTTTATTGCTGTGGTTTGAAGTTTGACATATGGTTGGGATCATTCAACCTGAATGGTCAAGGTCACGCTCAACAAACATTAAGCCTTGCGCCATCTCCCTCCCTCTACCCGGTGTAGGTGTAGGTGTAGGTGTAGGTGGCAACCAGGTTATGGTTTTTGTTGTAAACTGATGTCTCTTCAATTTGAAACTTTTTTTTGAGAGAAAACTGGATACTATATTAACCGACAGAAATACACACAGAAACAGACCCTGAAAACCAAGCTAAATACGGCCCTACCTGAGGTCTTTCATCACCTTCCGCCCCTCGAATAAAAGGTTGTTGAATTTGAAACTTCCATTTCTGTTTAAGCGTGGGTTCGTGGCTTTGTGCCTTTAAATCGGTTTTTGCCCCATCTTTCGGAATCCCTAAGAATATTGATCAATATTTTTCTTCTAATGATGCAGCAGCACCCAAAAATCAAAACAAACTATTTACGAGTTTTTGGGTCTAGTAACACTGCTTCTGAAGTTTATGGTTTGACAGGGTTGGTGTTGTTCATTAGAACTGCGACATTGCAGGATTAAGCTATAAACCATACGAGAACCTGGATGCTCATTTTCCTGTTATGCATGGGTTTTAGTTAACCAATTGATCACATTGTCAGAATGTTTTGTGGTTGAAAGATTTGTTGCCGCCATGTCCAAAGGCTCTGCCGCCATAATTAATGCGTCAGCGCAAATAGAGGGAAATATTATGCGGCTGCCCCTCCCAGCCCACTCCTAGTTCTTAGGAGAGAGAAGGGCCTATGAATCCATCATCCGTCCCTCAACTTTGTCTTTTATCTAATCTCATGTAATTAATTGAAAATGAGTATGCATTATTAAGTAAGGTCTTTATCGTGTCTAGGGGTAGGGCATAGGTTATGTGAGGAGGGTGCTTTTCAGGAAGGCTGCCATGTCCGAGAGAGACAGGGCAGCCTCGTCCATCGTTATCACCATTCTCACTGCTTCCCCTGCCTTCGGTTTCACCTCTGCAACGTCCCATCTTATAGCTACCAAATCCCAACGCTCGACACCTTCTTTTCTTTTTATAATTGCCTTTTGGGGCAATTTCATCATGTGAATAAATACTAATTAAAAATTTAAACAACTCAACTTTTCCTGTTCCAAAATTCATATTTTCTCATATACAATCCATTAATCCTTTATACAAATAATATTTTGTGTGAATTATTTTTTTATAACTTTTTTGTGCAATTCATCATTCAATTAATTTTTCAACTAAGGATTTATTTCTAGTCTCCCCTATCATCATTCAAATTTTGAATTTTTTTATAATTTAAAATGTTTTGATGCTTATTAGTTGTAATTAAATGAGTTTTTTTGAAACTAATTTGGGTTTCCCTACCGACTAAACAAACATGGAGGGCCTTCTCTCTACTTTACATAATCTCATTATGTTTTTCAACTTTTATTTTATAGCATATCAATTAATCATGACTTTTAACTATCATATCAAATAGTTCCTCCGGTTCTAATTATAAGAGCTAGTTGACTAATTTGAGGAGATTAAGAAAATAAGTTAAGTTAGTTATTTGTAATAAATAGGTGTTGTCTTTTCTAAAATATCCTTACTAATCAAGTGTGTTTGCTAGAACTACTATTATTAGAAGGACTATCTTAAAAAAAATGCACAAACATTAGAGACAAAGTAAATTGGGATTTTATATTTATGATCAAAATAAAAGTTAAATAAGATATTATATTAAAGACCGAAAGTAGTAGTTCAACAGTCATATATAACGTCTTATGATTCTGGCTTCCAAAAGTTGCGCGTGAGAATCGGGAAGCTCATGATTAGAGACTATGATTTCATTACTTCTCAAAGACGCTAATCCCAAGGCATTTTTTAGTTAAAGCGTGCCCATTCCTGATACAAAACCTCGTACCTGCGCCTGCTCCTTGAAATATGTTTTGATTCACAATCTACACATTAAATCAATAACGAACAAATTTTTAGGGACTCAGTTATATTTTTTAGGAATTAGTGTGAGGGACTGGGTTAAAAATGAATTAAATTTGAAGGACTAAAAAAAAATAATTTTTACTGTTTTTTTCCTCCTTTGAAACATATACCCACTGTGATCTCTTTTATAATGGACCAATAACTAATTATTAAGGATAAAAAATATAATTAAGATTAAGTGGGTAAATAAATATGCTGAAAATTAAAAAAATGTCTAAAATTTTAACCAATTTTATTCATTTTTGCCTCATTAGCTACCTTTTATATCACTCCATTAATTGTTATTTACCCGCTGACTTTATTTCTCCTCACAAGTAAGTGTATTTTAAAAATAAAACATATTTATTTATATACTTATTTGGTTGTTTGTTTCTTATATAAAAACCAGAGTCCAGACTCCAGAGGGAATAACAATTGACCTCATTAATAAATAATCTTTTTTAATGAGGTTATAAAAGAAAAATTTTAAATGTTTACACTGGCAATAAGTTGTTTATTATAAATATGATAAAAAAATCCTTTAAAAAAATTCTATTTTTGAGTTATACAAAAAAAAAAACCACCAAAAGGAGACGGGAAACACCAAGCTACATGCAAATAGAAAATATAATGTCGCGAAATAATAGTAATAATCAATAATTAGCAATTCAATAATTCATTATACAACATTTGCTAGCTCAAGGGAGTAGAGAAAACAGTGATTGAAATTGGGTGAACAAGTCTGGCCCCAAAAAAATTGGGTGAACGGAAGAAACACCAAAAAGGGTCAGAACTGGGCTTGACGGGATGCTCTTCTTTGCCGGCTTCATTCAACTGCACTTCTCAATTTTGAGTAATTCCAATTCCAATTTGGTGACGATGAGAGGCAGGGGCTCAAAAGGGAAAACAGAGGAGTTGGTTTATTTGATGAACTATGCATGCATGGAGGCTTATAAATATGAAGAGGTTGAGAAATGTGAGGAATTGAAAGAGACATTAGGTAACAATATATATTTCCTCCTCTTTTTTTTTTTTTTTTTGGAATTACAATGGCAGACACTTACAATCTAAAGTTACAAGTTGCAACAAACCCGTGACATTTCGCTTACAAAGAAAAACTTACATATCACCAAGCTACTAAGCCATCACCACTGCAATATGTGTCGTTATTAGTTGGAAGAAGCAGAAGCAGAAGCAGAAGCAGCTTCGTCCGCAAGAGGAGGAGGTGGAGGAAGGGGTGGTGGATTCAGAAACTTGGTGGGAGGAATGATACAACATCTGCACAGTGGGCAAGTGGAGTGTGAATGGAGCCAATGGTAAATGCAATCTCTGTGAAACACATGCTTGCACTGAGGGATCTGTAATACGTCTTCTTTCATCTCAAATTCTCCCAGACACACACAACATCTGTTTCACCAAATTAGCTCACCTCAGAACAACATCATATGCAATCATTTAATCATTTACATTACATTACAAACACACACACCCAAATAACGTCTTCTTGTCCTCTTTTTTCATTGTTAATTTGTTTGTTTGGGAGGTTTTTCTAGGGTAAAGTAATATCCTGTGCCATAATGTTATCTCCTAATTGCATCCAATATTCTAATTTTATTTATGATGTATTTAATATTCTAATGTTATTGTTTGGTTGCACCCAACATCCCTTGATGTTATTTTTTGTTACATACAATACACTAATCTTATTTGTGATGCATACAATAACTTAGTGTTAATTTTTTTGGTGCACCCATGATGTTATTTTTCTAGTCACGTCCAACACCCTAATTTTATTCTCGGTTTAAGGTTTTGGATAAACTAGAAGAAATAACATAAGAAAAGGATGTTTGATGCAACTAGAAAATAGCATTAGAGTGCTACATACCACCTCCGTTTATTAATATAAGAGTTAGTTTGACTTTTAATATGGTTTTAGATATAAGATCCTGATTTATTTTGTCTCTTATATTTATTTATTTTTTCTCCTAAAGTACTTATTATAGTGGTTGCATGTGTTAAATGTTTTATCAAATGTTAAAGCTAGCACATTTAATTAGCAAGGGTATTTTAAGGAAGATAGCACCTATTTATTACAAATAACTAATTTAACAAACTTCTTTTTACTTATTTAAATTAGTCAACTGACTCTTACATTAAAGACCGGAAGTAATATTACTTTATTTATTTTTTATATCCACAAGTTCTACGGAGGAGGATTCTTTATTCCACTTAGGTCACATTCAGACAGGTTGATCTTTTCTTTCGTCCGCTGAAACCCAAGAGATGTCATTGTTCATATATTCCACTTATCTTTTTTTTAATTTCCTTTTGCTGTAGCTCTTTTTGTGAAAATAGTAGATGCCGTAAATGTGAGATTCTGATGGAAAAAGAAAATAAGAAAAGAGAGAAAGAAATTGAGAATTCAATTGAAGATACTGTTAATTAATGTTTTCGCATCTTTCAAAGAGCAACGGTTCCTAATAACATCGATCGAACTAATCTCAAAGACATGTCTCCTCCATTAGACATCATATCAAGGGCTTTCAATCAATTCTATGCATGCGATAGGATATCACAAGAAGCATCTAGCTGGTGTTCATGCTGTTTTAGCGCCAATAGCAAAAGAAGAACAGGAATCTATCAAGGAAGATAAACAAAGAAAAGAGAAGAAAGTTAAGATTGGAAACACTCACTGTGAATCTTTTTCTTTTAATTCTTCATCAAATAAAACTTTTGGAAGAGTGTCGAGGAACTGAAGCGTCAGATCCAAGCGACAAGGCTGCCAAAACAATATAGGGAGATTGAGGCACCAATATATGAATTGAAATCCCCAGAATTGAGTAAAGGCATATGTATAGAGATACAAATGATATAACAGAGAGAAAGAGGGATGAAGAGTGAGACTTACGGTGGAATGATAGGTAGTTGAAGGAGCAGTGGTGGGAAGAAAGTGGGGAGGGGAAGAGAGAGAGGAAGCTCTGCGCTTGAGGTAGAACAAATAAAACAAGAGAAAGAGAATGATGGAAAATAGGATTGGAATTGAGAAAATGAAGGCCTGATATAGTTTTAACTGAAGTTCTTGTGGATACAGATTTGGAGATGTGGTTGGAGTTTGAGGGACAGCCATTGTGATTCCTACTTCTCTCACTTTACCTACTCAATACTCATCATCATCATCATCTTCCTCTTCATATATTCCGCTTCTGCTATTCTTGTTTCTCTGTCTTTTGACACAAAAAAATGCTGCGACGATTTCAGAAGAACGGCACAAGTTCATGTATCTAAAATCCTTGCTGGGATCAATTATTTAATTCAATGATGTAATTGCCTGCTGGTAGCAAGTAGAATAGTTTGATGGATGGTACAAATTCTGTTCTTTTTCAAATGATGGAACATGTTCATGACCCTCCACTTAGAAATGGACCCTCACCCCTCTTTGTATTTTAAGCCCAGTTGTCTTGATTCTATCACCAGGGGCCCAATTATTTTACCACATTCTCTCAGTGCTAACTGTCTCACAAAATCTTGCTTTCTGATTATTTATTATTATACAGATAAGAAAGGATACTATTAAAAATTCCGTATGTATCCCACAAAAATCTTTGTTACTACTAATTTTTCCAAAAAAAAAAATCATTGCTACTGCTAAAAGGGAGAGAGAGTGATTGTTGGGTACCATACACATCTAATTTTTTGTTTTGATTTCAGGGTATGCTTGTTTGTCAAACACGCCTGTCGTTATCATTATCGTACAAATTTAGTCCTCCAGCCCATAATTATAAGTGATCATATTACTTCTCCGATTATTAATATAAGACCTAATTACTGAGTTGATTTTGATCCTAAATATAAGACCCATTTATTATATTTATTAATTTTTTTTAAATTACCCATACGAACATTCTCTCAACCATAATTAAGTAGAAGATTGAGGGAGAATATTAAGAAAGATGATTATAGTGTTTTAGAAAAAACATGTCATATTTTTTATAATTAACTAATTTACCTAACTTCCTTAATCCAATCAAATTAATTAAATAAGTCTTATATTAATAACGGGAAGAGTATTTAATTAGTGATCTTATAAGACGATTAATTAGCGTGGACCATTACTGATTATAATAAACAAAGAACTTATCCTTCTCTCCCGCTTGGTGAGGAAGTGGAGAACAATAAGACATATTGCTCCAGTAACTTTGCACTGAAAAGTAGGCTTAGGATGCAGCATTAAACCTTACGTTTAATTGACAAGAGCTTTCTGTAACCCGAATAAAAGCTAACGAGCCCCCTTTCGCAATGTTTACTTGTTTGGGTTCCAGAAGAATAACCAAGAGGAAAACATAAGACAAAAATATCAGATCTCATCTTTCAGACTTTAGCTCCATGTTACATAAGGAATATAACCATGTTAACGAGATTAAAAACGATCTCAGAAAGTTCATCAAGTTGCATGGGGGATTTTCGAGAGAGATATAAAGTTGCTTGATGTGTGAACTTTCTCCTAAAAAAGAAAAGGCTTTCGGCTTCTTAATTGCTACAGAGATCTTTTTATATGATTTTACCTCGGGCCGCCTAATTCCAACTGAGGTAGTTACAAAATTGGTGCAACTTTTGCTTCCTCGACATCTTGTGAAGAATCAAGGTTGGACTTGGATATCTATCCTACTGTTGTTAGTGGATGCGGAAGCATCTCTCCCACGCGCGCACATACAAAGTGGGGTTGGGGATTGGGATCAGATCCAAAACTCCAACGTCACATCATACTCACAGCTATCTTATTTGTCACATTTATTTTATCAAAGTGCCCCAACTTTCACCGCACTTGCAATCCCCAGAAATAACAGCTTCCACATTTACATGTATCACATGTTGAATTGCTGATCGTAACTGCGAAACAAAAATAATGAGGTGGGACAATGCGTTCATACATTCAAAGGTAACAATCCCAGTTATGCGGATAATGGTATACAACATGAAAAGCCAATGATTGTAAAGAAAAACCATTTTGGAGGCATCTATTATTTTTATTAATTTTTAATTTGATATTTAGATATTTTTCTCTCTTAATTAAATACCGTAATTTTACTTTATTAGCATAATTAACTTTTATAATTAACAGTACAAATAGAGCGATGTTAACAGATTAAAATTAGCATATTTAATTAAGGAAAAAAAATACAAAGATACCGAGTTAAAAATCGATGACGTGATTTTTTTTTTCCGAATTTTAATTTGGAAAAATTACGTACAGGTCCCACAGAAGGCAATTTATTACTCTGAGGTCCCATGAAATGTCAAAATCACTGACAGGTCCCAAGGGACCTCAGAGTAATATTTTCGATTTGTAAAATGACATTACTGCCCCTCATATTCCATATTCACATTTACTCTGTCATTGCGATTTACAACCTTAACAGCGACTATTAACAACCCAATGAGAGGGCGTTAACAACCCTAGCAGTATCCGTTAACAACTTACTTTATAAAATCATATAACCTCCACATAAGAGTAAATTATAACCAAATAGTATAATACAACAACTTTAACACTAAAATGGGAAGCTTTTTGATATCATTAAGAATTTTAACTAGATCCAATAGGATTATAGTAATATTTTAATGCGAAGATCCATTTACAACCTTAACAACGACTATTAACAACTGAATAAGAGGGTATTAACAACCTAAGCAGTATCCGTTAACAACTTACTTTATAGAATTATATAACCTCCGCATAAGAGTAAATTATAACCAAATAGTATAATACAACAACTTTAACACTAAAATGGGAAGCTTTTTGATATCATTAAAAATTTTAACTAAACCCAATAGGATTATAGCAACATTTTAATGCGAAAATCCATTTACAACCTTAATAGTAAGTATTAATAACCTAAGGAGAACTGTTAACAACCTTAGCAGTGTCCGTTAACAACTAACTTTATCGGATAATATAACTTCTAACTATAACTAACTAAATTATAACTAAATAGTCTTAAAGTTAATATTATATAGTTGTTAGAGGTTATATTATCTTATAAATTCAGTTGTTAACAGATACTGCCTAGATTGTCAACAGCTCTCTTTGGGTTATTAATACTCACCATTGAGGTTGTAAATGAATCTTTGCATTAAAATGTTGCTATAATCCTATTGGGTTTAGTTAAAATTCTTAGTGATATCAAAAAGCTTCCCATTTTAGTGTTAAAGTTGTTGTATTATACTATTTGATTATAATTTACTTTTATGCAGAGGTTATATAATTCTATAAAATAAGTTGTTAACGGATACTGCTTAGGTTATTAATACCTTCTCATTCGGTTATTAATAGTCGCTGTTGAAGTTGTAAATGGATCTTCGCATTAAAATATTACTATAATCCTATTGGATCTAGTTAAAATTCTTAATGATATCAAAAAGCTTCCCATTTTAGTATTAAAGTTGTTATATTATACTATTTGGTTATAATTCACTCTTATGTGGAGGTTATATGATTTTATAAAGTAAGTTGTTAACGGATACTGCTAAGGTTGTTAACGCACTTTCATTGGGTTGTTAATAGTCACTACTGATATTGTAAATCGCAATGACAGAACAAATGTGAATCTAGAATATGAAGGGCAGTAATGTCATTTTACAAATCAAAAATATTATTCTGAGGTCCCTTGGGACCTGTCAGTGATTTTGACATTTCGTAAGACCTCAAAGTAATAAATTACCTTCTATGGAACCTGTACGTAATTTTCCTTTTTAATTTCTCATCGAATACCCTCAAGAAAGTTAATGGGCATACGTTCTGTGAAGATGGGTAAAAATCAGATGCCATCCTACTTTGCATGTGTTATGTTAGCCTCATCCTTGTTATGACCCCAGAATAACTCCCATCATTAAGTGTTTTAGCATAACTTATTCGTACATTTGTAAAGAGTGGCACAAAATGTAATTATATTATATTAAAAACCCAATTTTTCCTCTTGTTTCATCTTTTATAAAATGTAACTTTGTACGATATCAGGCTTCCACCCAAACAGAGTGATGCGTCTTATATTTAACCATAATCGCACAGAACCATATTCCCACGAAGTGTCAAAAGCAGCATCTCTCCAATATATTCATAAAAGGCATCTGAAATGGACGGTCCATATTACAATCAAGTACAAGTGAAGGGCATAATTAAATATAATCAGAATCATATTTTGTTTGGTCTCTCCTATGCCCTTAATTCATGTTATTTGGGCCCTATCGTTTCCAGTAATCACTCATGCTCAGCTTCTATGTCAGCGGGAAATGGCTCAAATAATGTGAGTTCATTTTCCCAAAGATGACGAAACATCAGGTACAGTTTAAGCTGCTTAATGGGAACGAGATTGAAGTCGCGATTTACCAGGCATAAAAATATTCATTTTATTTCCACTCTCAGTCTCTTTTAAAACAACATCACATGCACAATTATTACTAGATTCAATTAGTTATATTTATTTTCCAGTCCCAAAAAAAAGTTAAATTTATTTCCTTTTGCTAAGCTTCACAAATATTTGTTTGCCTACTAAATCGCATGATAATTCAAGATTTCGGTGTCCTTCACTATATCTCCAATTTAAAAATGATTGGGCAAGTGTTTTCGCATCAAACGACTGCAAGCAAGAGAGTAAGTAGAATGGTCTTGGATATGGCAACAAGAAAATAACACAAACACTTAAAATTCCAATGCATTACCTGTCAAAACCCGAGGCCAAAGCTTGGGCAATCATTCATATCCGTTGTACGCGAGAACTCCTCATCACTCTTACCTTTGCTGGTAACAGAACAAGATGAATTAGCACCCGAACTTGACTTGGAAAAATCAAAGACTGCCTCACTCGTATTTGTCTGGGCTTCCTTGCATGGTTCGGGCTACAAAAAAATTGCAAACGAAACACGTCAATTCAAGATAACCGAAGGCTTATCCCAATATAAAACAAAAATTCTTCACCTAAACTTTTTTTGGGCTTCTCATGGAAACCTATTTCAAAACAAGGAAAAGGAAACTTGGAAAATACAACCCATCATGTTGACTTTTGAGTATGCTTGAACATTCTGTGATCTAGATATAAAAAATTCTCAACCATATGATCTCTATTCCGCCATAGGGCTCAGCTATGGGATAAATGACGCGGTGGCACTCGAGGTAATAATAAATAAATTTGAAACTAGACCTGGTGGGAATTTCCGATTTTATCGGTGAATTGCAAACTGACACCACCACTTGCTGCTGCAGAATCTACTTTACGCAGAATCAACAAATAGCCATGAGCATCTTAAAAAAGTTTCAAGAAATCTCGTCTGAAAGATCACAAAATTAGTATGCTGGAAATTCACAAACTCCATCTTCACTTGCCTTTGGAAGACTCCACAGTCTCAATGGATTCCCTGTCTCGAAAATTTTCAGATGAATTGTGACTGTGTGCTGAGGCAATTGTTGGTCCACTACCTATAATAACCCAATGTCATTGTATTATTTTCGCCGTTTAAAAGAAATAGTTGCATTATCATGATCCTTATGGCTTGTAGATAGCTCGTTCGCCGGTCGTGTTTCCTGTCTAACCTGTAATTTTGCTCTTCGGAGCCGGACGCTTTTGTAGAAGAGACAGTATTTGATGGGCTGCCGAAGTAGCAGAAATCAATCACATGTAAGTATAATAAAGCAACGAATAAGAGCAGAGCCGGTCAATAAGACGAAAAAGAGATTCTTGTGACATCAAAGGCATGTCAAGCCTACATCTAAGATACATGCTCCAATTCCATTGAAGGTCACGCAGTTTTTACTGAATGATAAATCCCTTTCCTAATTTTATACGAGTCAGTGAACCTCTGTCTATCATGTCACAGTTGAAAGAACAAAACCCCGGGAATATCTTTTTTTTTTTTGGCCCTTTTTGGTCGCTAGAATTTGAACCCATGCCCATGCAATGAATCACAAAGACACAGGTCGGCTGTTACCCCCGGCATCTCTTTGAAATAACAATGTCAAACAATAAAGCATGAACAAATCAAGTCTATCTGGAAGCTACGTCATGAATTTGAAATCAGGAACCTACATGATTCCAAGACACATTCAATCAAGCATAGAGAAAACACATACAAATAAAGGATCTATGATAAGATAATTAAATACGAAAAAAAGAGAAGAATGTCACACAATTAAAAGCAGAATGACAAGACAATACGCACTGTCACGTAAAGGCTTGATTTGTGGGACTATCCTGCTTGATTCGATCACGTCTGACCCAGAGCAGAGGGAGTTCGAATTTGCTTCTTTTGCTAAATAAGCTTTACTGTTAGGCTCCACTGCCGAGTAAGGCCAAAGAACATAAAAGGGAAAAATATAAAAAATTTAGCACAAAATAAGACCACTAAAAATATGAGAAAAAATTAAGTCAAATGCTGACCTTTGACGACAACTGGGTTGGCCTTTAGATAGCCGTTTTGTTCGTATCCTTGTTTCCTCTGACCAAAATTATCCCCAGTTCCTTTCTCATCAGAATTCATTGGACATTGATGGCTTTCTTTGGGATCTCGTACATCGACAAAATGGCCATCGAAGTATATTGATTCACCAGGCCTTATAACTTCATCTTTCTTCAAGAACCGGCGCTCTATTGGTGTTTTGTTCAAATCACACAGGACAACCTGAAAAGAAGTGAGCATCAAACGAAGCAAGACTAATAGTATCCTGGTGTTCAGTCCACTAATCCAAAAAAGCTGTAGAATTTATAGTTGACGATTCAATATTGAAATTAAACAGGAAGCGAAACAAATTGACAACATATGAAGACACTGATGGGTTGGAGAAAAGGAAGGACAATTTAAAGAGACCAAGCAGAAACCTATAAGAAGAGTTAAAACTAACCTGTCTCCCCCGAGATCCAAAAATTTCAAGTTGCAAGAAACCATCGTGGTAAGTCTTGGATTTTTTATTGGACCTCGTTGAATATAACACCAGCCACTCTAAATTGAAAATTAAAGAGATATTTGAGGGGCCTTTAAACGAAGAGGGGAAAATGAAAATTAAAAAATGGAGAATATAGTTATAAACATAACCGCAGCCAGCCTACTACAGAGAAATTGACGAACATAAACCACAAAGGAAGCAATTATAACACAAACAAGCAAGGATAAGTACACTGTACAACAGTGCAATAAAACTTAGAGCTTTAAACATCTTATGATTGCAATCTATGTCTTACTTCAAACTGAAAACAGAGTTTACATTCAACTCTCCTTGGTAATTTTTATTCAAAAGCCAGCAAATACAATATTACTAATAGCATTCTGTAGAGAGATGATCAAACTTCAATTGTAAAATCAGGTGTACTAAAAAGACTAAAAGAACGTTTTTGTAAATAGAATCAAAATAGAATATTCTCTCATTTAAATCTCCTATCTTTGATCACCAGTAAATAGAGTAATTACGAACCACAGACAAGCACACTCTGCTCCCCACACCCTTTTTAATATTTCTTCCTTCCTTGAGCAGGTTATAGCCTTCCTCTCACGTAAGACAAACCGAAAAGCTTGAGCTAGCAAGTACAGTTACAAAGTAAAGCTCACACACAAAAAGGAATGCAAAAGATAATTATATCAGAAGCCATCAGCATGAGAATAGGTAATGCAGTTTACAGTCTAAGATATTAAGAATCGATTGGGAAGGTAAAAGGCAAATTATATCTGTAAATATTATGAAAGGGAAAAAGAAATCAGAAATCAGAAAAAATAGCACACCACGGAGTAGCCAGCTAAAAAATTTCCCGGATCAAGTCAACTAACCGCTTTTTCTTGCAGTTACATGGGTGTAATGACAAGATTGCTGCCGGTGCATCTTCCTGATTTCCTCAGTATCTGTGCTTTTTTCACCTTGATCATTGGATTCTGGGTCATTATTTCCTTGATTATCACCAATGTCAACCAAATATGCATCAAATGCAAGTGATTCGCCTGGTTTAATTATGTCATCTTTCTTGAGGAATTTGCTATCTAGAAGTTTCTTGCTTGCATCAAACAGCATTACCTAAGATATAAACAAAAAGGGGGAATGCGAGCATTCATTATGCTGAATATCCAATTTTGGCTGCAACTATGTATGTGATTATATCGGACTTTTGATCATAATATTGGAGTTGGCGAGGGAGCGGACGAGATAACGAAATTATAAAATAATGCATTTACTAAATGCCCTCCCTCACCAGCCATCTACTTGGGTCAGAAGAAAGCGCTTTTTTTTTTTTTTGGGGATTGTAAGAAAGCATTACTTTTAGAGAAGGATATACGTGTAGAAGTGAACCTGTCTACTATTGGATCCAGAAACCACAAGTTTCAGAAAACCATCGTGGTACTTCTTTGCCTTTTGAGTGACTTGTGTAGTGTACAAAACCTGCCACTCTAATTAGAAAATTGAAAGCGTGGAAGTGTTAAACAATTAGCAGATAAAATTGTCACGAAAATGGAACAAGAGATCAAATGATTTCCTAAAAGAAGATTGAGAGTTATTTGCACGAAAAAAAAAGTCTTATAATTAGCTGTCGATTTATTTGTACTTAAACTTTAAAAGGTGAGAGTAGAGTGGAATTTATTCAGCTTAGTTCTGACCCGTTATTTTGAGACATGGTAAGACACTATAAAGAAAGCAAACTAGATGCTGGCAAAAAAGAAAGAAAGAAAGAAAGAAAGCAAAGTATATAAGCAAATAGAAGGTGTATTTGCATTGAGAGACTAACCTGATGTGTTGGGTTTTGTTGTTTCCGGACTGATCTTTGGTGATCCATACTTAAGAAGCTCTCTCTTCTTAAACTCTGCAATTTTAACAATTATTATGCATATACCACTATGCTGTGGTAAGAATTCATAAAGTAACTACTGCTAGTTTACCATCACAGTTACTTGCGGAAAACAACTGCATAAGCACGAGTTTTTACAAAGAATGAGTTAATATGTAAAAATATCCATATAACGATAGCAGTGGAAAATAAGTATACTTATCCAAGAGAAGCAAGTGCCTATAGAGCATGCTGCATTTGATAGGAATAGTCAGTTTAGGCCATTTCAACCCATCACAAAAGTCCCAAACCAATGTGCAAGTGGATCTTGTGCGTGCGTGTGTGAGTGCATGGAAATATAGAATAAGCAAATAAGAGCTCTAAGCACTTCCGAAGAAATTCTGAGAAGCAAAAACAAATGGACCACCAATGAGAAGTTGTATGAATCAAAGCAAGTCAACCTTTAATAATCTTTTGTGATGGGCTGAGAGCATGATGTGCTTTGCTCTCCTTTACGTTAATTTTACTGTCGCCTATATCATAAAACGATAAACAAGTGATTGAATGGAAAAATAAATGAAGAAGGCAGAAGTTAAAATGTTGATATTTCCAAAACAAAACAATGCGATAAATCTTTTATTCCCCTTTGTAATTAGTGATATAAATTTTTTAAGAAAGATCAGACAGCTTTTACCTGCTGAAGTTCTAATGTTTGACCCATTCAACCTATTAGATCCCCGTGCAATATTCTTATGTGCTTTATCAACATTTGAATCAGAAATAGGGTTATTATCTCCCTCAGGATCACCGATGTCAACAAGGTAGCCATTGAACACCAGAGTTTCACCAGACGTGACAGTTTCATCGCTCTTCAGTAGCCTACGTTCCAAGAGATTGTCGCACTCATCATAAAGCATAACCTGCATATAGATTTTGTTACTCGAAACTTGCCAAATTCTGCATAAGAGTAGTAATAATAAGAAGGGCTCCAAAAAGCATTGGAAATCGAAATATAAAATATGGTAAAATAAAAATAGAGGTAATAAGTGTAGGTAGAAAATGCCGTCACCGTTCGTCCGATCCAGGACGTAATTGAAGACATGGTAGAAAATCGTAGTTAGAATACCTTGTTAGTTGAACTCTCGAGTTCTAGAAAACCATCTTGGTACTTTTTGCGTTTTTGCTTGATGTGCTTCGTATAGGTCACAGTCCATCGTTTCACATTCCCCATCTTTTGCGATACTTCTGCACCTAATGATCAAGATTTGGAAATTTGAAGGGATAAAGCTTCTTCGCGCGCGGAGGAAGACCGCAGGAGGCGGGAAGATTAAAGTCGTGTTTAAGGGCCTGTTTGAGTGTGTGGAATTTTGTAGCAGACGACGCGGTTTCGGTGATTTAATTTTCCTTTGCGATTAAAAAAAAAGTTCACTGTTAAGAAAATAATAAAGAGTAATCGATTAATTTGAGTAAATTGAAAAAATTAGTTAAACTAATTATTTATAATAAATAAGTATTATTTTTTAAAATATCTTATTAATTAAATGTATTTACTAGAATTATTATTTGATAAAATTTTTAATATGTGTAACTATTACAATAATTATGTTAAAAATAAATAAATAAATATGATAAATAAAGTAAATTAGGTTATTATAAAACTGAATATAAAACCAGCTATTGTATTATGCTAAGGAGATTTTTCCCCTCAAAAGCATAGGTAGGGTTGCACATGGGCAGAGCTGGACAAGGCAAGACTCTTGCCCGATGTGTAGCTTGAAAAATAAACGGGTTGAAAAATACAACCCGTTGCCCAGTCTTATCCATGAAAAGCCCTAGTAAGTTTGGATGGAGCAAATGCGGGTTGGATAGGGCGGACTTCCATACCCAATAAATCAATATATTATATCAATTAACTAATTATTTATGTCTCTATAAATAATCTAATATAACTTTATATTACAATGACAATTTGGCTTTAACTTAGTTATTACTAATTAATACACTATGAAGCTACATTTTATAATGACTAAGAGGAGTAGACTATGATAAAAAAATATTGTTAGTATATTTTATTAAACTTAATTGCTTTTTTAGTTTTTAAAATTTCTTAACCAAATACTAATATTTTTCCCCATAACTCCCAAATACTTATGAGAGGATGTAATCAGTTATATTTAAAAAAAAACTTTGTTTTGGTTTCATAAATTTATAAAGTATCTTGATCAACTTTTAATTTTAACCAAACAAAGAGACGGCAATTTTAGAAAAAGAAGAAGCAAAACAAATTTAAAAAATAACTCGATCATCCTTTCATAGGCCATCAAAGTTATGTTCAAAATAAACGATATATAATTACTTATCTGTCAATATACAAATTGCTAATGGTCATGATGTTTGCATTAAAAAAAAAAGAATTGTCATACATATCATAATAAATGAGAAGACATCTAACTCTCAAAATCATTCAAAAATAAATAAGTTTAATAAACACTGAATACTGATGCGATAATGAGTTTAATTTAGGAGATAAATGAGACGAATGAAATATGTATAAATAAAATTATATATGTTTTTGCAGACAGGGCAGTATACCGTGCCCGATGCGGCGATGCCTAGCCCTGCTGGACAATCTGCCCGACCTAAACATGCCTAATATTTTTTTTTGGGCCATTTTTTTAAGGCGGGCTGGGTTTTTTTTTATTTTTTTATGGGCATTGCGGGCAACCAGGCTTTATGAACACTCCTAAACATAGGTATCCTCTTATTAGAAGTAATTTTATTCGAGGTATCATCGAACACTAAATGTGGATGCCTCTTCTAATAGATATTCAAACCTTAATCTATTATATTGTGAAGGATTAACCGTTTTTGCTAGACACAAGGAGTTGAAGTGCCAGTTCAAAATCATTTTCTTTTTGGGCCAAAATTGTTGCCTCAGATCCAACCCGCTGCAGCAACCTAATTGCCCAATCCAACCCAACTGATCATGAACAAATAATCCATGATATTGCTCGAGCTCAATTTAAAAAACAAATTACCCAGTGACAAATTTTCGATCCGCGAACCAGTACTGGAAGTTCCGGCATTTCTCGTTCCTTCGGTTCCCCGCCAAGCATCTCCGGTCTAGGGACACCGGCTACGAGCAGCCTACGGCACACCCACTAGATCGACGGACCCTGCGGCACAACGGCGGAGTTCAGGCGGCAGCTCCTTCGTCCTCCATCAGTTGAGTTTCTGGTTAGTCATCTAACACCTTTAAAATTCTAGAATCATTCAACAAACGGGGATTTACACGAGGTGCAGAAATATTAAGCAAAGTGGGAACAAGGGAATCGCTCTCTTAAATTACATTCTCATGCTTCTCTTCTTCTGAATTCAGTGGTAGGGGCCTGTGCCCTTGCCTGTCGGCAGGGAATTATATTTTCCGTGATCGGTGTGTTGAGGCGAAAGGAATCTGTCCTAACTCATAAGCCTATAGAACTAATCCTACGATTCCGTTAATAATAAAAAGTTCAACTTTTAATTAATTTCTTCTGGTTTTTTCCCGACCGTCCCTGCAGATCCAGTGGGAGACAATAGGCGGTATTGAAGGAAGCATCAGATCAATTTTAAATCCACCTTCTCAGGCATGGTAATGCCACTTCTAACTTACTCTGTCTCATTTTGTTTTCAATTTCGTATCATTCAATCTGTGGCTGGCATTTACAAGTTCATTTTTTTTTCCTTCGTTTTAACGGTCTCAGTCAGCTCTTTTTAATTTCCACTCCTTTCTGACGGTGGTACTGTTGGTGATTTGTACGTGCACGTTTCTAAAGATGCAGTTTCCCACCATACTTGAACAGAAAACTGGGTATGCTTTCTTTTGCTCTCGTTTGTATGCTTTCATTGACCCGTTGCCAATTTCAACTTTTCCGGAGATGTGCCCCTAAATCATCATCATCAATATATCATCTTATCAATAATTCAATATACTTATATAATTCATAGAAAGACACTCTTCATAAGATTTGAATAATGTGACTCATTTTTCAAACATTCAGCTGCATCAAATTCTTTACTACACTTAGTTGAATGTAGTTTCCATCCTTTAAATTTCCAGTGTAACTCTATTGGAGTTTCTAACCGTCTAAGGGTGGGCAATGGCTTGATTGGGACAGTCTTGTTTCCACCACCAAGCAAATTCTTCTAGTTGAATGGCTTGAATTATCATACTGAAAGTAATCTATTCATCTTGTTTGAAATTGAACTAATCAATTTGGCCTATATCAGTTTGAATGGATGGGTGGCCTTTAAAGGGAAAAAATCCAATTAAACTTAATTGCAAATAAAAGCAAGGGAACATAGGAATTTTAATCATCTTGTTAAATAAAAACAAGGAGAGGGGGTTTTCAAGGTGTGAAAAATGTGTCACTTGTACAGACTAAATTTACTTCCGTTGGATCATTCTACCTGAAGATCAACCAGATTTTCATCCAAATAGATACTAAAACAAAGTCATACTCCATTCTCCTCATGCTCACAGCCACATGATGAAGTTAAAGGGAGAGGAATGAATGGATTCTAGGATTTAACCCTTTCCCCTTCCTTGGGGATTTTGACTTCGGAGGGAGTTTTCTCCTTTTATTTTGTTTGCCATAATCAATCTTAGTCCATCTGAATAGGATGTCTGTTCTATGAAGGAGAGAGAATCCAAAGCGGAGGAAATGTGAGAGAGAGTTATTATGTGAGGGATTTTTTCTCAATAGTGCAACAGCAGGAATAAAGCAGGAGGTGAATGAATGAAATTAATACCTTAAATTCTTGAGAAATGCTTGAGATCAAATGTCAGAAACACTTGAGTGCAAGAAAAGAATGATGCAAGTTGCTGGAGACAACAACACTAGTGAGCTATGGTGGATGACATAGGTGACAGAGTGAGGATGGTGCTGGTAAGAAGAGAGGAATCTTGAGAAAGGCTCCATAATCGCAGGATTTGAGGAATATAGTTCATTGGCTTAGGTATACAAGGCTAGTATATACATAAATTATAAATGTAATGTGAGATTAAAGGAGGTCCACTCGAGTGCAGTGGAGTCAGATTTTCTCATACAAAGCATCAACCAAAGTCATCAGGTAAGACTCGTACACTGCAGCAATGGTTAAGGTCCTACAACGCTTTAATTGCCACCTCCCATGCATGCAGCACTGCCATTCTTTATCTCTAAAGGACCCAAAAATCAAGCACTGCAGTCTACTGATCCCTCTATTGAGTAGAGGGAGCAACAAGTTAACATTGACCCAATACATGAAGAAAAGAGAAATTGGGGGGGGGGGGATGGGGACAAGTCACATGAGAAATCATGCAAGAGCTAGATGAACAAGTGAGAAGGTCAAAAGGAGGCACAGAATATGTATTGCCGGTCTTTTTATTCCTCCAGAATCAAACCCCACTGGCAAAAATCAATGAAGAGCAATATCCAATGCACATCTTTGTGACAATGCTATTGGTGACTGGTGAAGTTGATTTCAATAAAATCAGCCTTCCTGGACACAGTGATGAACATTGTAGAGCACCATTTCAATTTTCTAATTTATTAGATTGAGTTGCCTCAAAATTTAAATTTCCATCTTTCTTAATACAAGCAAGGAATCGATTAATCAATATCAATATAATATGTAAAATCTGTAGCAAATTGTGCTATTTGCAGCCCATGAAATGTACAATTCATGCCTTGAGACTTGTTCGTATGCACAGGAGTCCGTATCTTTTCAATCTAGAATTGAAAGGCATCCAAAAGTTACTTTTCCCTTCTTAAATTACAACATCTAATCAAGAAACAAGAAAAATGCATCATGCCTATGTATGTTCTTTTCTGTTTTGGATTCGGATTACCTGCAACATAATATTTTTATTGTACTTTAATTTGGGTCTGACGAGAACCTACCCTGGAAAGTAAGGGTGGGGAAATGGCATGCATGTTTTAGATAATCTGGTTTACCTTTGTTTTTTTCACTGAAATTTTATACACTTGAACCATGCCCATGTCGGTAGTTTGACCCTTAAAATAGGCCTACAAATTGAAGTAGTGGGAACGCCATGTCACTTGCAGATTTAAGAGCTGCTGCTGGCTTTGATATCACCGGTCTCTCGTCTTGGTTATGTCCTTGATAGGATGGCCACTTGATTTTTGGTGTTGTATATCCCTTTACATGCAACTCAATAAAAATAAGTGGTTTTAGCTTGGGATACTTTACTTTTAGCGTTCCTTCTTGTACCTTTTGGATTCCAATTATGCAAAAATCATGTATTTGTTTAAGTTAATCAGTACAGTTGCATGTATAAATTTTAGATTTTAATAAACCATTTTTTGGTGTCACCTTGCAGGTTTCGGGGATTCTTTTGGAAGGCGGCTAGAATAGGTTCGTTTTTATGATTTCTCTAGCCATGCCTATAATAGTCAGTTATATTGACTTCAATCTCGAATAGTTCAATATGGCCAGTTATTGTTTTGCTTGTTATTGCACTTGACTTTAACGTTGTTTAGTGTTTGCTCTCTTGTGCTTTGTCCTATAAAAGATAGATCATTACATCAGCTTGGGGTGAGCATTCGATTATTTGGTTTGGTTAACAGTGATAACTTAATTAACTGAATAACCGAAATGTGCATATTTATGAAACCAAACCAAAACCGAAGTGCAACAACTAACCGAACCGAATTAACCAAAATAAATTCGGTTCGGTTAGTGGGCTTTTTTTGGGCCTTTTCTGTTCCAAGCAATATGACAGTAGCTTGTACAACATAATAAAAGTCCAAACACTAATAATCTATCTGAAAGCCCACAAAAGATCCAAAAGAGCATATAAATTGATAACAAATTTAAATTCAAACATAATAAAAGTCTAAACAAACAAACTACCAGCACATCAACATTAACATTCAAAATTTTGAAGTACAGCATAACAAAAGTCTGAATAAATCCAACTAGTCCCCAAGCTCTCCTTACATACAACATAAAACCTGCAGCTGCCCAATTAAGGAAGATACTTAAAGAGTGCGCAACTTGAGAAAAAGAAAAACAAACAAATCAATAGTAAAAATTTATTTACTCTTAAGTCTTTTCCATGTTGTATCTACAATATATTAACAGTTGCCTCCAATGCAATTGTTTGCAAATCCCCAGCTTGAGCATCACCCATAGTTTGAGAAGACATCTCACTGAATAAAAATACCAGTTACAACATATCACATGGCACAAAGTACCATTATAAGTCAATATCAAAATTATAACACTATTAATTTATAAGTCAAATGAATCACATCATCAAATTTCTATGAGCTTTATACAAGATAACATACGTTTATTTTAGATTATTTTGTATACTTAATATTAATATGTTGCACACATTGCATACAAGATAATGTAGAGGTTGTGTTTGACTTGATTTTGCAGGCGCACACATTTCATATAAATAATAATTAGCAAATTGGTCGTAATTTATGAGGTATAAAAAGATTAATTGAGCTGACTAAACAATCAAAATTATTAGAGGCATTCTCGCAAGTCATTTGTCGTTTTTAGGTTATGTGCTTACGGGTTAATTTTGTCAGAAAAAGAAAATCCACTGAAAAAAGTTTGGGAAGGAAATAAAATCTGAGCCAAAAGGAGGGATTGGGGGAAAATGGGCAAACTAGAAAGTAGAAAAGAGGGCAAGAGGCACATAATGATACATCAAAAGAGCCCCAAATAAAAACTTGACCAATGGCCATGCGCATTGACATAGATCAGTTCAACTACCTTCACCTATCTTTCTTGTACTCTTTCGCAAACCATATTCCACTTTTTGAAACATCATTCTCTAAATTTTCAATGCCCATGCCCAAGAAAAGGTGCTTTTCTTTGAATAATGTTAACCCCTAAGCACTGTTGAATCAATCCATGCCGCCCAAATCAACTCCTAATGGACCAAATGCAAGAGAGAGGCTAATGCAAGCTGAAATTTTCATATGTATATGTCTTACCTCACAATAGTGAAGACTGAATGCAAGAAAATCGGGGGATTTCGACTGGAATCAACAGCCAAGGAGGGAGGACACTGGAATGTGAGTGTCGACTGGCGACTACAAATCTGCGATGTCAGTTGTGAGTTTGAACTTTGCGGCGGCCAAGGAGTGGAGATATGAACTTGTAAGGACAAAGGTTGAAGAAGGAGAAAGGAGAGAAGGAGGTCGGCAAGCTGCAAGATGCCAAGATCTAGGGCTTTAGAGAGGGGAGTGAAAGAGAAAGACTGTGGGAGAGAGACAGGGAGTGATGGAGGTGAAGTGGCAAACACGACTTATGTAAGTATTTTTCTTAATAACAAGGGAGGCTGGTCAAAAAAAGAAAAGAAAAATAGGGAGGCCGGTCAAAAAGAAAGAAAATAGAGAAAGATTAAAAAATTAAAAAAATAGTTTTTTTTAAAAAATAAATTTCGGTTATTTGGTTATAACCGAAATATTTTAAGAGACATCAAATTGAACACCGATAACTGAAATAATCGAAATAATTAACTGAAAAAAAAAACCAAATTAGACGAACCTAAAAAACCAAATTAAGTTCAGTTCAATGTTCAGTTATGGTTTGGTTTTATTCACCCGTAACAGCAGCTATCTCTACCGCCCAAAAATGTAATGCCACTTGTGCTATTCAAGACCCCTAAGCATGCTTTTAGTAGTAGCCGTATTTGCATGCGCGTCAATTCTAGGAACATTCATTATTTCTTGGTTTGCTTTGCTCTTTATTTTTGTTTTCTTCTTGGGAAGTCCTGTTTTTATTTAAGTGTGAAAAGTTTGTTGAATTTCTAGCGGCTGAAGGCCCAAGCCTTCTTTTGCTATAGGTAAATGATTAGCTTTGTGACATGACATTGTGCAGGTGAACGTTTGAGCCCTTGGGTGGCAGCAGGATGTTTTACAATGGGCGTGTCTATCCTATTCTTCTGAAAGGGGTTTAGCTTGCAAAAGTTATAGCAAATCTATTACTTCATCCATTGACTAGTGTGATTTATTGAACCCTGTCGATCCCAAATCCCACTTATATAATGAGGATTATGGATCTCTGAGTTGAATGGTTGAAGCTTGTTATTGCGTTTTTTATGTAGTATTGCAGCGCAACCTGGTAGGTAGTTTCTGCATATATTCAACGTTCATTTCCCTCCTGAGCGGAGGAACGTGTCCGTTATGATCATTAACTTGAGTATTGATAAAGTTCATTGATGATTGTATGCTTCTTGTGATCTTTCCTCTTGGTAGGTGTAAGAGGCCAATTGGCTATCATAAGTTGGATTCTTCTTCATCATTTTAATCCTAACATTTGATGATGTTTATAACATTTGGGTCATATCAAAGTCAGATTTTTTATTTTTTTGGTGAATATATCGAAGTCAGAGATTGAGCCGTCAAAGATATGGTACTGGGACTTATGCGCACGCACACGTGCACACAGACATAGAGCCCTGGGAATATTCAACTTGATGATTAATAATTAGCACGTAAATTTAGCCCGATCTATCTGATTCCGGTTTCCAGAGCCCTGATATCGGGATACATCAAATCCAGTAGGAGCGGATGCACAGTAATTAGCATCGCTTTGCTTAAAATTAATGACAATAGACAAATTCGCGCCTAAATGACTGCTAATGCTCATCTATAAGATCTTCACTGGGATGGCTGATACTCTAGACTCTCAGAATCAAGTTTATAGCTTCAGTACCCTCACAAAAAGCCTTGAATTTGCTAAAATCCCTAGTCCCAGCAGCGACTGAGACACAAATCGAACTAATGAATGAGTGTATTCCGGTGACTGGAGCCAATTTACAGCTTCCCTTTGGGAAAATCACTAAAAAATTCTTGATTGCAAAATCTATCTAAAGGCATCTAAAATTTGTCTAACAATTCAGGTACAACTTCTTTTTATTATGTGTAGCTATTCGTTAACTATGTGAGAATTATCTTAAAAAATATAAGACTACATTATACACAGTCGAGGAAGAGTTGTACCTATGAAAGATGAGTTGCCTTTGCTCATGAATTTGAGTCCTTGGATATATTTGGGTAATAAACTTTTACAATTGAGTAATTTTCAGTAATTTCCCTGCTTTTTTCCCCTTGTCTTCTTAACTGGCATAATCCATAGAGTAACGTCAAAGAGATTTAACCGCACTCTAGCCGTCTTCATGTCAAGCTTTGATGCTTCCTCAAGCAAGTTTTCCCATTAATTTTGACGGAGAACTCATTCAACTAAACGTTTTAGTTCAGGCCCAAAAAAAAAACAAAACACTAAACGTTGTAGTCCTTAGGTAAAATAATTGTTGTCATGCTTAACGAAGCTCCAACTTAATACAATAAAACAATTTAATCTAAAATTTTTATTGCGCATTTTGGTAATGCTCAATTGTGCAAAAACATGCAATAAAATTTGTTTTCAAATTTTGTAAATAACTCATCTTTCACAAGGTACTAGTTGGTCGAATTACATATTACATGCCTCATCTGCATCAGACCACGTTTCTTTCATCTGCATCTTCATATCAACTCTGAATTTTCACTTTTAAAAACCATCAAATTTAATCCAAACCCGTTCGTAATTGCAATGATCTGAGGGGAAACAACTTCCCTTCGGACTAGACTTGTTTGCTCAAACGCAGCTTATTATTATTACCTCATAGGACTAGAGTTTATAAACCCATTGGAAGTGCAGTTACTTGTTAATGGCAAAAGATCATATTATCGGTGGAGTTCATTCCACAACATAGAGGCTAATAAAACTGTTTTTTCTTCCAATTAGAACTTAAATCACGAGTCAATATATCTTTGGAGTTGGAAGCAGATACGAACATGCACGCTTTCCTTTATTTTATTTTCCTTCCTCAGCGTTCAGACTGAGGACCACAAAACCTCATACTCATCAAAGCTAAATCTGGAGGGGATTAAAGCAGTAGAGAGATTAGAAAATAATGGTGGGACAACAAAAGACTCATGCTCTAATTTGGCCACCTAAAATCCAGCAGGATTATTATATTTTTATATATAACAGACGTCTCCCTGTTAATCATATTATTTGGGAGCAGCCTCAATCTTGTCGGGGCCTCGGCTTCCATTTCCGACGACAACTTCCGACAGATTATTCATCTCTGATCCTTTGGCCTTCCTCGCAGCCAACAACCGCTTTGTGTTCTTGTAATAGGTAGCATACAGAATAAGCTGAGCCACCGCCAATAACGTCCCAAGCCCATTCGGCACCTGAGCATTAATCAGAAACAAACACCAGTATATATACTTCAACATTTGTTTATAACTTTGATATATATATATGTGTGTGCGTGTGTGTGAATTTTGAGAGGGAAGAAAGAGAGATTTATTTACAGTGACAAAAGGATCAAAACGAATAAGAGCGTAAGTGGTCCAAGCGACGCCGTTTCCAAAGGCGGCGAGAGAGATGAAGAAGGGCATGAATTCAACGCTCTTCGTGGTGATCACCAATTTCTGCTCAATCAATTCAAAGTTGATAACGCATTAGTCAAGTGATATATATATATATGTATGTACGTATGTATGTATAAGAGATCGATGGAGAACAATTGTTAAGAGTTGATGGAGAACGAACCATGACCGCTAAAGGAGAAGCGTACATCATGATGTTGAAGATAATGCAGAGGGTTCCGACGATGGCGGAGCGTTTCTTGTGAGAATGAGCGAGAGTTAAAGTGAGGACGGTAAGAGTAGCGATGAAGATGAGCTCGAGGATGAACCAGGCGAGGACCTTGACTCGCTTTCTGGGAGGAGAATAGATGAGGAAGAGGGCGATGAAGACGATCTCGATCACAACGCCGGAGCCGTTAATGGTGACGACAAGGATGCTGTGAGGGTGGACGATCGGAAGGCCGTACAGCGTCCAAACCATACAGTTAACCAGCGTCGCTAAGTACGGCACCGGCGAGAATTCCTGTACCGACCCTTTCTTCCATATTCCCACAAACGTTGGCCTGTGTTTGCGCATTCAATATTCCTTTCATTTTCAACATTATTTTCAGCCTCACACATGATGATACTATTTATGCATATATAATAGAATGACTGAACTAATTATAAGATTAAACATTTATTCTATCTAATTTTTTGACTATAGAAAATTATCATTTAAAAATTTGTTCTCAATTTTAATACTCTTCCAGTACTTAATATAAGACTTAATTATTGAATTAATTTCGATCTTAAATATAATATTTATTTCTCATATTTATCAATTTTTTCTAAATTATCTCTATCGACACTCTATCAACCATAATCAAGTAGAAGAGGGAGGGAGGATATTAAGAAAGATGATTATGGTGTTTTAGAAAAAATATATCATATTTCTTATAATTAACTATCTTACCTAACTTCTGTAATATAATCAAATTAATTAAATAGATCTTATATTAAGAATCGGCGGAGTATAATATATTAAAAATAACTCATAAATAGAACTATTTAGACAAACCCAGGCCAGCCCTTATTATCTTATCTAGTGTCTATCAATTACGTTAGTTCAAGATGATTATTGCTATATATGAAAAATGTTTCTGCTGTAATTATGCTATAGTATGCAATCAAAGAGATCAAAATGACACTTGTCCTGTCTTCAACACCGGCCAATTGAAACATATGCTGGCCCAGAGATTTTCCCAGTCAAATCAAATCAGCCGCTAGAACGACACTCCACTATTGTGCGATGTGTTCGTGTCTAATTTGAATTAGATCATGTATAGTAATTAGCAACATGCGAATCAAAAAAGAAAAAAAAATATCACATTTGATATCAAAATATCATATCCATCTTAAAGGGGACTGAAAGTATTAAATCTCAATTTAAACATATGCAAATGAAAATCTAATTATAAATTGAGAATACAACTAGAATTTAATTGTTATTCTCTCATCTTTTTCACTTTACATACAATCTCTAGTATGCAAATGAAAAGTGATAAATTAATAATAAATGCATGCATCTTAAAGGGGACTGAGTCTCAGTGATCTTAAAAGTTTTCAATTAATATTGAAGTATAACTAAATTTTCAAAATAAAATCAAAAGAAAAAAAATAGCATAAAATGTTGACCTCCATTTGCAGGGAAGGAAGATGATGATAAGCTAAGCAGTGAAAGAGAGAAATGAATCTTACACTGGAGACAAGAACAGGAAGCCGGAGATGATGTTTCCTGAAAATTAAGGTAATAAAAACATGCACACACAACACAAGTAATCAAAATCTCTCAGTAAAATACTTTTTCACTTCGAAATATAAAATCTTTATACACACTAATATTAGGACCGGAGGATTACGACACAAGGGGAATTAAATTAAAGGTTTGATATAGACACAAATTAAACGATGAGAATTAAAAGGAAGGAGTTAAAGAACGGACCTAAGATGCCGACGACAGTTCGAGCAACCTCTGCAGCAGCAGCAGTCATGGTGGCCGCCGGCGGCAAGCTTATGAAGACTGAGAGAGGAGAACTTTTGGGGGGGGGGTTAATGAAAGTGAAGAGTGAATAAGAAGTAAGAGAGTGATGGAGTCGGGGTGAGAGAGAGAGAGAGAGAGAGAGAGAGAGAGAGAGGGATTTAAATGGAGTTTTTTTTTTTTTGACCGGCTAAATGGAGTTTGGTGGCAGGGGAGGAAAGGTGGTAGATGATATATATGCATGACATGTAGGGTTGGGGCTTGTGAAACTTATATATAGAGGCGTAATGGTTTCTTTGGCACTTACCAGCTTGGCACTGTGTTTGAGGTCATCTCACATTTCTCCAGAAAGCGACTTCACTCAATTTTACTACGTCTTCTCGTTGCTTGCTTCATGCTAATTACTTGCATGCTTACGGGTCAATCTCTCTCAATGCCCACTCCCACGGAACTAGATTTATCATGAAATTCAGTTCAGGGTAAAAGTAAAATTTTACCCTGGTTTTATTTCTCAGCTAAACTCTCTACTCAATATTTTTATCCCATTTTTTGTTTGTCCAATTTTACACATGGTCTTTTTATTTTAGTGCATCTAGCGTCCTAATTTTATTTATAATAAATCTAGCACAGTGTTACACGTAACTAAAAATATAACATCAAGATGCTGGTTACATAAAAAATAAGATCATAAGTATTGTACTATTAAAAAATCAGGATATTAAACGCTAAGATATGGGTAAAATTGCATATTTATCCTTCAATCTAATGTGAAGTAAAAAGGTTTTTTTTCAGAAAAAACAATGTTGTTTTAAGTAAGGTAGAGATTTCAAACTTCATATTTGAAAAATTTACATTAACTATAATAATTTATTATTCAAAAGCGCATCTTTATTAAGCTAAGACAAAATTCATATATACAACAAATTAAATCCGAAAACTGAGACTTGTGATCAGGGACAGATGAAGTATAAATATAAATAGTTAAATACTCCTCCGGTCCTTAATATAGACCCATTTCACTAATTTGATTAGATTAAAGAAGTTAGGTAAGTTAGTTAATTATACGAAAAGTGACACATTTTTCCTAAAACACCATAATCATATTTCTTAATACCCTCTTTCCCTCTTCTACTTGATTATGGTTGGGGGAGTATCCATAGGGGTAATTTAGAGAAAATTGAAAAATATGAGAAATAGGTCTTATATTTAGGACGAAAACTAACTCAAGAATTGAGTCTTATATTAAGGATCGGAGGAGTACTATAACTTCAAGTGTGTGGCTCTATTTTCCTTTGACTCATCACTTCAGAAGTGAATGCAAATTTTAATTTCTCTTACCATGCACACTCAGATTCCATATATACAGAATTAATCATTGGATACAAACAGCAGAAAGTAGAAATCCAGGTAGATTTTTCACACATTGATGACAACTATTTTTCCGAGAATCTCACTTTTAATTTGCGAGCTGAAAAGTGAATTGTAATAATGTGCCACTATATATATGTGTGTAATAACCATTAATATATTCCAACACCTAGAAAGACCATATTTTTTCTGTTGGGTTCCCTTAATTATCTCTTCCATTTGTCATTGAGAATCTTGAGACAAAACTAATAAGGATTGAGTCTAATGAAAGGGTTAATCATTTACAATGTGGTGAATCAAGTTTCAAATTTTTACAAGGAGAGATGCCCACACGTCTTAAATAAAATTGCCTCCAATAAAAGAATACCCATACTTTAGCCCAAAAAAAAATCTTAAGACAATAATCCTATACACTACTGGTTTTGTTACATCAGATTGATGGAGACTTTAGAGAGCGATTTAGGCTTCACTGTTCAAAAGATTTATCACTTACCTGGCTATAGCAAACTTCCAAACCAAGAAAAACAACTTGCTGAACGTGGTTAATTGAAAGGTCTACTCAGAATAGCAAAATCCAATATATCAGTTTTATCTGAAAATGCAGAAACGAGGAGGGGGAGGGGCAGAAATTCTAAGTATAGATATGCTATTATAACAATTTTATGTTTTTAATTTCTTCTTTTTATTATGCCCAAAGTGCTAGAATGACTAAAGCTTAGAAAAAGAAAGCTCGAGAAGGAAGTCAATTAAGGAGGAAAGCAAAAGACAATATGATAAATTTTGCTGAGTCGTTCAATTATCATCATATATGAGTGTGCACACAGTGGGAGTAGGAAGCCTAATAAAGAGAAATTATATACTACCTCCGGTCCTAATTATAAGACCCAGTTAACTAATTTGAAGAGATTAAGAAAGTAAGTTAAGTTAGTTATTTGTAACAAATAAGTGTTGTCATTTCTAAAATATCCTTGCTAATTAAGTGTGTTGGTAAGAACTATTATTATTAGAAGAACTATCTTGGAAAAAATGTATAAATATGAGAGACAAAATGGATTTGGGTCTTATAATTAGGACCAAACTAAAAGTCAAACCGGATCTTATATTAAGGACCGGAGGTAGTATAATATAGACAATCAATTCTACAATGATCGCATTGCACAAGATTGAGTTAAATAAAATACTCACTCCAATCTTTTAAAACTAGTTAACTAATTTATATAAATTAAGAAAATCAATTGAATTAATCATTTGTCATTAATATGTCAGAATTTTGTAATAATTTTTCTAAGACACCCATCATAAAGAAAGAAGACAAAATTTAATTCACTCTTGTATTTTATGTTTGAAAAAAATTAATTAATGAAGCATAAAAAATTGAAATATTGTAAATAAAATTATAAAATTTCTCTAATAAGTGTCTCTTACATTTAAAACTGAAAAAACTTCTAGTTCTAACAAGACACTACAGTCTAACAGTTATTATGATTGTTAATATACACCACTATATTACAAAATATTTAAAGCATTTGTAAGAAATATTTAAAGCATTTGCAAGCCTATATGACAGAATGTTTAAAGCATTTGTAAATTTTTTTTATGGATATTCTCCTTATTAGAAATAAAATGTTTTCACTTTTAGTAAAAGAAAGACCCACACATCATTTAATGATTTTAATTGCAAATAACGTTGGAACATTGTGGTAAGACCATCAGCCATATTAACTTCAACAACTTTTTAATATATGTGATTCAGATAAATAATTGATTGATATTGACTAAGTCTTGAGTTAAATAATCGAATGAATTAGATTTTTTCCGTGGAACGAGTAATCAATAATTCAGCCATATGATATTGAACTGTCAACAAATTAAAATTCATGGAAGTTATCCGATATCCCTTATGTTTTGGTTGAGAAGAAAGTTATTGCAGACACAAATCCTCTCTATTTAGAGCCTAAGTACACTATGATGTTGAAATATAGGACTTTGAGCGGGCGGCTTCATACACATTCTGTTTCTTAAAGAATTATTTTGTCCTTGTCAAATTATTAACATGGCCGCCGTTATAAGACGTGGAACCCAAAATGGTGGAGAAACCTATAGTTAATTAAATTAAAAGGGAAAAAGTGTATTTCTTTTGGAAATTAATGCATATAATAATATGACAAAACACTGTAAGTATATGGACTTTGAAAACCGAAAAAAAAAACACACACACAAAAGCAAAGATAAAAAGAAGTAAAGAAATGAGTTGAGATAACAGTAGTAGATAATCATGTGTTTGAAAGAGTTGAGCTTTTTTTTTTGGTGGGATTTTAAATTGCTTATTCCACTTAAACCAAGAAGGCCATTGATTATATAACACCAGAGTAAGCTTACAAGAAACAATAAGTTAAAAAATATTGATGGAGCTAGCCAGTCTTTGTTACCATATAGTGTTATGTAGGTGTCCAAAATGAATATATAATGGCAAGACTTCAAATTCAAACGGGCAAATGATCAATTCATAATGAACATATTCTGATCATTTCAGAAATCCCATGATTCCAATTCTGACAAATTAAATTTCTGCCTGCCTTTGATTCTGACGCTGCATCAACATGTTTTCTTAAAATAAGGTAATTTAATTAGTTACCTTCTTCAGCAGTGTAACAACTGAATTTAATATCTTATCTCTCTATGATCCAAAAGTTTAATTCCTCCTCAGAAAATGGAAATGCAAGCTTTTTTTCCTCAGAATCATCATATCAACAAATTTTCTCACTATCACAGAAGCATATATACGACCAGTACACCAATTTTTGCGGAACTTTATGCTAAAACCTAACTTATTACCGTTCATGAACGAGGACATAACTTTGAAATCTGATCATATGTCCCACTCCCTCTATCTAAACCGATGATTCTGCAAAAGAAAAGCTTCACAATTTATTAATCCCCTTTGATGTGTGATTATTGATTTGATCAAAGGAGAGATCTTTGATTTGGTTTTTTTCTTGTGCGTGTGGGACATAAAAAGATGGATGATCGTTGAAGTCGGCTTTCTGTTCATGCACAGCCTTCAACTGAAAAGTGGGAATATATAATTGAGAAACAAAAATGGCAACTGTTAGACCAAACCATCTCTAAACATTTGAGTAATCAGATTAGACCACGAGGCGAATCCAATTATATATAAGGCGCGTGGTCCAATGGAACCAACAGATATTGACACGTGGGTGTGTGACGTGGATGACAGATACTGAATTTTGGGAATATGAGATAATGTTGGGTGAGGTTGTCGGCCAAAGCAGGATAACAGGAAGCAATTCTGATTCCAGATTCATCACAATAGTGAATTAAGCTGCCAGTGATATGAAGACACAGTCTCTTTATAATTAATTTCCAAGTTTATAATTCAACTCCAAGAGCTTTTGAGAGAGGATCTAAATAACTTACTTGTCTAAGCAGTACATGATATATAATTTTGACTTTTTGATTCAATAAAGCATACGGGTTTTGTTCTCTGTGAAAATTGCAATGAGATCTCAAGGAAAAAAAAAATAATTACCAGTAAATCCCAATAACAAATAAGTAGTTGTTATTTCATATACTTAAACTTATCATTGTAAGCTGTTCCATTGTTACTGGGTTGTTTTTGGTAAT